CCCTCCACCACTTCTCGGCTGCACACCTCCCCACCTCGCCTCCTTCCAACACCTGCCCCCACCCCACCTCCACCTCCACCTGTCCCCCTGCCGAAGACCTTTCCCTCCCTCCCCCCGCCCTCCCCCATCTTCTCCAGGTTTCCATGACTTTTTTTCTTTCTTTACTTTCTGAAGGCAGTGCCACACACGGCGCTCCAAGATGGAACGCCACAGAGCATGCCAACACGTACCTGTTGCACAGGTGAGCACACACCTGCTCGCACAGGTGAGCACACAGCAGCAGTCCTGCGTAACCTCTTCCCTACTGGGAGTCTGCCTTCCTGATTCCTTCCTTCCTTCCGTGTTTCTGCCTGCTGTGTTTCTTCTCTTTCCTTCTTTCCAAATGGTGGGAAACAGGACTGACCCCTTTATGCATACAGGCACCACAATCCTTGGAGCTGCAATATCTGATACTAACAATGGTGAGGTTTATATGGTCTCCACTGAGCTGTGGGGTGCATCGCTGCTGCCTTTTCTATGTCATGTGTATTGTTTTTTCCAGGAGTTCACGATTGCCTTGCTTTCTGCTCCCATCAGCCTGCGTGTGCCCCCTTCGTTTTGGAGGCCTCTGGCTCTGAGGAGCTGGAAGGCGTGATGGTCCATTGTACCAGCTCAGGGCTCAGTTTGCTTCCACCTCGCCTGCCTCTGCACCTGCCCTGGTGCTCCTGAGTGGCCGTCACCTCGGGGGCCCTGCAGGATTGTGTCTTAGCAGCCTCCTCGTTCTGCTGAGCTGATTCTGAGCTGGTTCTGCTGCACTGATTCTGTTGGGCTGGCTTCTGATTTCTCAGCTGGTTCTGATTCTTTGTCCCTGTCACTGACTGGTACTTTCCACGTGAGCTGTTTAAAAGTTCTGCGGTGCGCAAGTGGTTCTGCTGCACGCCCGCTATGGGCACCATTTCTTCCCTTTCTCCAGCTTTGAAAGAGTTGAGGACAGCCCAAAGATCCTGCACGTGTCCCTTCCTGGCTCCTGGCTTCGGATTGGCACACTTTGTACTTTCCATGTTGGTTTTTATTTCTCCTCTCTGTATGCCTTTAAAAAATATTAAAAATAAATCTTTAAAAAAAAGGTTTATTTATTTGAAAGGCAAGAGTGATACAGAGAGAGGGAGACATAGAGAGAGAAAGCTTCTATCCTGATTCACTTTCCAAATGGCCGCAAAGGTCAGGGCTAAGCCAGCCCAGAGCCAGGAGCCAGCAGCTTCATCCAGGTCCCCCCATGTGGGTGCAGGGTCCCAAGGACTTGGGCCATCCTCTGCTGCTTCCCCAGGCCATCAGCAGAGAGCTGGTTGGGAAGTGGAGCAGCCAGGACTAGAACTGGTGCCCAAATGGAATGCTGACACTGTAGGCAGGAGGATTGGCCTGTTGAGCTACTGTACTGGCCCCTGCTTTTCTGCTTTCTTAGGTTCTTCCAGGGGGTTCATCTGGAAGGCAAAGGGCCTTGTCTGTCTTGGTTTTTGCTTCCCATCATGCCAGGTAGCCAGGTATGGGCTCTGTGAAGGTGTGGCTTGAGCAGAGGCTCTTGGGAAGAATTTGGGGAAGCTCCGAGGGACCCCTGTCATGACAGGGAGGTCAGCCCAGACCTTGGGGTGTCTGAGAGAGACAGAGTACCACTGGAGACAACTGACAGGGGAACTTGAAGGTTGCCTGTTGCCTGGCTGGTTTAAGACCATGCAGAAACCTTCTGGCTTTCCCATGGGAAAGCAGTGCCTTGCAGGCAGATGTGCACATCTGTGTATTCTCTCCCCCAGGGCCACCACGTGATCACTGGCAGGTGGCTCACCACTCTTTACGGGTTCATGTGATCAGAACACCCCCGTAGGCTCACAGCCCGGAGAAGGAGGCAAGCTGCTAGTCATGTAGGGCAAGCTCTGTACCCAGCAGGCTGGGGTGACGGGACAAGCTGTGCAAAGACACAAAACCGGCTTCGTTCCTTCCAGGCAGTGGGACCCAGAGGGGGCTTGCTTGAAACCTTGGGCCTCAGTGGAGAGGAAGCTCTAGGCCTACCGCAATCATCAGGGCATCACACCACCAAGGCAAAAACTCACCTGTTTCTCGCACCAAGACTGAGGCTTTTGGGGTGCCTGGAGTTCCGTGAAGCTCTGTGAACCTCACAGCCATGGGGAGCGGGACAGGCGCCCCTTCCTTCCGCCCCCCCCCCCTCAGAAGCAGAGAGCTGATACTGCTGCAGGTGGCAGCAGCAGGGTGTTCCAGCGCTGTGCCCTCAGCTCACAGCGTGCTAATGGACGGCCTCCCTGCCACTTCTGGCAACGCGCTCGTGTGCGCTCCAGCACCTGTCTGAACCTCGGTTGCCTTCAACTGCTCCATGGACGTGGCGGCTCTGAGATGCACCTGGCTGAGATGCGATGAGCTTCCCCTGCACCCCCCGGGCACCTGTTCTAAGCGCAGAGGCCACGGGGGGAGACCTGCATCACAGCGTGTCCACCAGAGGGAGCTGCAGGTTGTGAGCGCTTTCAGAATGGGCCGCGCGTCCTGCAAGGGTCAGGCTGAGCAACAGGGGAGCCACTCTCTGTATTGTGACAGCAACTCGGCCTGCAAGCACCCCGAGGGGGAACTCTGCTTCCCCAGCTGGGTGAGGAGGGACAAGTCGCAGCTCAAGGCAGAGCCACCACCATGCGAGGGGCTGGGGACACCGCACAGTGTCGGAAATGGCGTCAGGGAGAGCCCCTCACTCCCCAACCCCTGCTCCCGTCCTGGTTTCAGAACTGGATCTTGAAGGAGTGGTGGGGAAGGTGCGGCAGGTGGGGAAGGCAAGGCCGTGGGATCAGCCTTTGCAGAGAGAAACACTGGGAATGACTGGATGCGGAGGGGGCCCTGCTGTCCTCAGCGGCACGTGGAGGCCCTGGTGGTGGTGGTGCTGGGGTGGGAGAGGGTGGGCAGGAAGCACCCAGAGGAAGAGGATGGCGGGACCCCCGTTCTGTGGCTGTGCAGGTGACATCCCCAGAGAACACCTCTTGCTCTGGCAGGGTGAAGTCCACAGGTGCGCAGCAGCTGCAGGAATGCACAGGTGCACCTCCTGGTGTGACGTGTGCGGCATACGGACAGTACGTAGGAATTGAGATGGTCCCCGAGGTGCACTTACGGGTCACTCACCTGGCAGGTGCTGCCCTGGCCATGCTGGTCTCCTGGGATTCTCTCTTACCACAGACATCCCTCAACCCCTTCCACCACTTTACACCTGCCACCTCATACCCTGGGTTGCCTCCCCCCACCTCCCCACCAGGTCGCCTTCATGGATAGGGGCTGGATTTGGGATGGCTCCTTTTGGATGACAGCCTTCTGGGGCCTGCCGGGGCTGACTCAGGTCTTAGGCGTGTTTGCCTTGTATGCCTCTCTTAGCACAGGAGCACGTGTGCCCCGGTGCAGGCATGCTTGGTGACTCTCCCAGGAATGAATGCACCAACGTGCCCTGGGTTCCACCTCCGCCCTCCCTCCAGGCCTCTCACCCCACAGCGATCTGGCCTCGCCCTGCCCACCCGAGCCTCAGTTTCCCTGCTTGGGACTCTCCTCTGTCGGGGACTCTGATTTCTTTCCAGGGACCTTCTCCCCTTGTCTCTCTACCCGGCAAACCCATGACCGGTGTAGTGTCCAAGTTGCCTCCTGCAAGAAGCCTTCCTGGACTCCACCCCAGTGTTGGGGGACCTGCACCTTCTTGGGGACTCATGCATCTATTTACAGCGCCCCACGTGGAGTCGGTGTGATTCCCGGGCTGTTGGTCAGGCCCTCTGACTCATCAGCCAACACCTCCAACTCCTGGCAGGTGAGGGCCTGGTTGACTCACCTGGGACCTGGGCGGCACCTCCCTCTCCCTTCCCCCACCATCCGTGCCACTGGGCCTGGTTCTCCTTGGGCCTGGATGTGCCGCCTGCCCTGGGTGGTGTGACGGGAAGAGAACAGGGAATAAGCCGAGCAGTGGTGATGCGGGGAGCACCAGGCACCCTAGGCTGCACGGTGTAGGAGGGTGGCAGGCAGGCAGGCAGGCAGGACAGGGCCCTCAGGGAGCAGAGCTCTGGGGGTGGGTGTGTAGGGGGAGGAGCGGAAGTTGGGGCAGAAACTCCCTAAGGGAGGTTGTTGCATTCAGATCAGCCTGGGTTCTGGGGTGCCCTCCAGAAGGTGCCCTCCAAAGCAGGTGCCATCCGTGAGTAGGGGAGCAAGAGGTGGGAAGGATGCCACCGGTCGTCCCCTTGTCACGCACCTGTGTGGACCGGGCCCTTGTAGACTGCCCACAACCTCCCCTCCCCCAGTTCCATGCCATGCAGGAGGCGGTGGCATCTGAGGCCCTTAGGTGAGGTACCCGACAGGGGCCACCCTATGACCAACCCTGTGACCCCTCCCGGGAAGTAATGCAGCCGGAGTCACCTGACCGCTGGTGCAGGATGGGTCAGCGGGGCTGGCCTCGGCAAGCCCGCGGGGCTGCACGTGGGAGGAATCGGGCCACCTGCCCATCGCGCGAGGGGAAGCAACCTGAGGCCCGCGAGCAAGCCCAGGACCCGGAAGCGGCCCCTTCCTCGTCCCGTGCATGCCCAGGGCAGCCGCGTGGGCGCTGTGGTAGCGCATCCCCGGGGCCCCGGCCCTGCCAGCCTCGGGATCCCGGGTTTTTCCGATGACGCACCCGGGACCCGCCTTCCTCCGGGGAAGCGGGCTGGGGGCGCGGAGCCGCGCGGGACGCCCGGGAGGCGGGCACCCCAACCCTCCGCGAGGTGGGTGGGACTCGCGCCTTGACAGGCAGCGGAGAGGGCGGAGCCTCATGGGGATTGGGTTTCCCTGGGAGTGGACAGGGCCGGATCTGCGGCCCCAAGACCGGCGAGGCGGGGCGGGGCCGGCGTTTGATGGACAGGTGGAGGCTGGCGATGATAGGCAGGGGCCGGGCCCTGGAGACGGACTGGCCAATCTGGGCGCAGGGACCTGGGGCCCCTTGCGCGCGGCATTGCCCAGCCTGGGCCCTGGCACCGCCCGGCGCAGTCGGGTTCTCCTTGGGCGCCTGGATCCTCGCCTCTGCTCCTCCGCCGCGCCCGGGACGGGCTGGTCGTCCGCAGCCATGGAGGCTCTCGGGCCCGTGGAAGCCCGCAGTCCGCTCGATTAGCGCCCCCGGCCCCAGTCGCCGTCGCCCCCGTCGCCGCCCGGGACGCGCGCCTGCAGCATGGAGTCGCCCGCCTCCAACCAGCCCGCCGGCATACCCCAGGCCAAAGGTAGGCGCGCCGCCGGGCCGGGGTGAGGGGCGCTAACCCCGGCCCCTGCTAGCTTTCACTCTGATCGCCGCAGCCCCCAGGCTGGTCCCCAAACTGCTCCGCGTCCGGCTTAGTTAGCTCAGCTCGCTCCGGATCCCGAGCCTCGCGAAATGACCTCGTTAAAGCCTGAGGGGGGCTTCTGGCAGGGCTACCCGCTCGTTCCCCAACTCAGCCCTCACTCCTTCCGCCACCTTGGGGACCCAGCCCTGAACCCCCACCTGGGTGCTGGTGCTGCGGTTCCAGGCTCCTCCACGCGTGGATGCCAGTGCTGCTGCCGGGGACCCCACTACGTTCCCAGGGCTGGTGCACCGGCTGCGTCCATATCCGCCCCTCCGGGACCCTCGCCCCCTTGCAACTTTACCCTGAGCCTGGAGGTCCTCCCTGGCCAAGACCTTCTGTACTCCTTTGACCCGGGAACCTCCCTCTTTAGCTCAACCCCCAGTCTGCCAAACTCTTCCTTGTCTGTTGTTTGCAAGCTTCCCTTCGCTGCCTGGGACCCCTGCCCTGGTCCCGTGAGGGTCTTGTCCTGGTAGCTGGCCTTCCTGGAAATTTCGGTGAGGTGGCTGCGGTCGCATCTGTCATGCAGAGGGCGGGTGGACGAGACTTGCAGGGTGAAAGGGGATTTTTTTTTTTCTTTTCAGGAAGAGGAAAGGATGTTTTTTTGGCCTATCCCAGTCTCAGTGGGCTGGGTGGTGGGAGGGGTTTCCAAAGCCGCCCCTGGCTGTAATGAATGGGCTCTTGATCCCTGGTGAACCTGCTGCCTGTCGCCTTGCCCTGGCTAGCCTCCACCCCCGCCCCTCCCCTTCCTCCTTCCTGACATGGGTCTGGGCCTCAGTTTGCTTATCTGTAAAATGGAGGTGATCACACATGCCTCCGGAGGCACGGGAGTGTGACTGGAGCCGGTGAATAAGCAGGGGTGGGTGAGAGGCTGCACACAGTAGGGTGCCTGTTTGCAAGCGTTAAGGTTGCCCTTTTGGTTCCTTCTTCCTGCTGGAGGCCATGTGGTCTCAGGACCTGGCCTCTGAGACTGCAGAGGGAGATCCCCTTTAGGGAGCGGGAGGCTGGCTCCCCTCTGATCCTGCAGGGGCCCAGACAGGGGAGTCTGAAGGGTCCCAAGGGAGGGTGCGGCTGCAGCGACAGCAGTAGTAGCAGCAGCAGCAGCAGCAGCGGCGGCGGCGGCTGTGGGCTGAAGCCGGGTGGGCAGGGTAATTTCGTCTTACGTAAGTGGGAGGCCGGATCCCTGACCATTGCCCAACCCCTGTGAGTAACTCAGCAGGCACTCGCTGCGGGGAGGTGGCTGTGTGGAGGGAGGGCTTTGCTGTGCTTCGACCTCCCTCGCGGAGAGAAGCTCGGGAAGGGGTGGGAAGCAGTGTTTGGAGGCCGTGGTCCAGGCAGACCATGTCTGGTCAGGGCGAAAGCTGAAATTGCAGGGAAGAGAGAAAAAGCCTGGCTTGGGGATGCAGGGAATAGGTTGGGAGGGTGTCAGGTGGCTTGGATGGAGGAACAGGGACCCTCTCAGGACCTGGGAGTTTTCTGGGGGGGCGGGGTCCTGGGACACAGGGCTGAGGACATCTGCATGCCTCTTGCTCTAGATCCCAAGCCCTCAGAGTCACAGGTGCAAGTGCCTTGCCAGGGGCTGCACAGCTGTGACGGCTGCAGTTGGTGTTGTACCCGGAGCTGTTTTGTGTCGATGGTGGTCCCCCCCCATGGGCACAGGGTCCCCGGCTGACTTGGTGCATGCTCCCTGTCCCCATCCCCAGTACCCTGCATGGCTCCTAAGCCTGGGGGAAGGTGGACCGAGAGAGGTGGGAGCAGTGCCTGTTACCAGTGCAATGCTTTGTGCAGTGGGTGTGTGTTGCATTCTTGCTACAATGTAGTCCATTGCATAGATACAAAACTGAGGTGATGTAGAGGCAGTGGCTACATGGATTCCACAGATGAGAAAGGCCTCTCTCTGTGCCCACCCTACTCCTAAGCTCTGGGACCCCCCCTCCCTCCCCCAGCCTGGAGCATCTCTCCATTTGCTCTTAGAGGTTGGTGCATGACCCGAGAGCTTCCTGCCAGGCGCAAGGTGTCCTCCCTGCAGGACCTGCTACCCTCTCCTGGCCCTCTTGTCCACATGCTCTCTCTGGCTGGGGTCAGAGGTCAAGGTCAGCTACTGCTGGGACCAGGGAGCAGGGTCCTTGGAGGGCACCACGTGTCCCTGTTCCTGTTCACATTCTGGCTGTGCTGCTTGGGCAGCCCATCAGTCAGGCACCCCGAGGCTGCAGGGACCATGCATCGACTCTGGGGCCATCCCCCCTAACCCCCCAAATCCAGGCTGTCGGAAAGACTGGAAGGTAGTACCTTGGGGACTTCCCCCACCCCTGCCGTGACGCACAGGAAACTCTCTATCAGCCAGCATGTGGCTCTGGGCCCGAGAGGAGCAAAGTTCTCAGGCGGCCTGTGTGGCGAGAGGGCTGGGACAGTGGAGACTTCCGGTGAGTCAGCGGGCACTGGGCGCTGACTCACCCACCGGGCATGCCAGCCAGCTGCTTGCAGCTTAAAGGGGCATTGCCCACCATCCTGGTGACTGGGAGGGGGCTGCCTGCTTGGACCTAGCATGCTATGCCTGACTCTGAACTGGAGCACCCAAGGGGACCCTGTCTTGGACTATGGGCTGGGCTAAGACCCCTCTGTACCCCACTCTTCCCTGCCCTAGATGGGCCCTCCTGGTCTTCGGCGTCTCACCCAGGCACTTCCTCCATGAGGCAAGGGGCCCTGCTTCCTCTTGCTCGTGGAGCAGAAGCAGGTGGTGGCTGCTGGCGGCTGTTTTCCGCCCTCGGCCCAGGGGACTGGTCCAGCTCAGCCAAGCAGCTGGGGGCTCATGCAGTGTGAAGAGCAGAGGGCTCTGCATGCGGGGTCAGCCACTTTGGCCCCCGGGAGGTGAATCGATGGGGCAGGGAGCATGACGGGGTGTGTGGGTTGTTGGCAAAGGGTTCAGCTGCCTGGGGTCGGATTCAAGCTCAGCCCCCTTTGCACCTGCACCCTGCCCTGCACCCCGAATGATTTCAGGACCCAGCATTCAGGGAGCATAAGCTTCAGTCTTTCCATGCCTGAAAATGGGAATGGGATGCAGCCAGCCTGATGTCCGTGGAGGTGGGACCCTGGGCCATGCTCAGGAGGGTCTGGGCTCGCATCCTCGCCTGGACAAAGCCAGGTGCCTACAGTGACATAGTGACCCACTAGCTGGCCCTTTGAAAAGTGGCATGCTGGAGACACGAGGTGGTGCCTGTCCAGTGTAGCTCTGGCTGTGGTGTTTATTGTGGGTGTTGCTGATAGGTCGTGAACGCATGAGTCCAGGCTTCTGGAAATGGTTGGATAGGCGGATGGAGCAACACGGGGACTCTCTGGCCGTAGCTCGAATTTGCTGGACATTGGGACCTCCTGCCCTGCGGGTCCCCATGCTGGAGGCTGGGGTTGCCTCCAGCACTTTCTGGAACTCACAGACCTGCCTCTGACCTGACTTTGGCATTCAGAGGCAGACTAAGGGGAAGTTCTGGGGAGATGTGAGCCAGGACACAGCCTGCTGGACCAGCCCCTTGGTATGGGGCACCCAGGGAAGGGACATGCCCTGGATTCCTGCTGGGAATGTTGGTAATGGTCCCTGGGCTGAGCTGGGCAAGCAGCTTGAGTGCAGGCCTGGTGGGGTACACAACCTTGGGTCTCTGCAGGGTGGGGGAGGGGGCAACCCCAAGGAGGAACATAGTGGGTAACAGCTGCATGGTGCCCCTGATAGAGGGTGCTGGTCCTAAAGCCAGGTGGGCAGAGAGGCAGGCTTCTCTCCCTTGGGTCATGCCCTGGTGTTGCCCAGTTAAGACTGGCTGCCTCGCCTGGCCACTTTTACAGGTGCCTGTTTGCAAAGTTTCCTGGCACCAGGGCCAGCCAGGCCTGGGCACCTCTCTTGGGGAGACTCATCTGGCTTGTCCTTGCCCTGAGGAGAACAGATGCTGCCAGCCTGGAGGGTTTGTGCAGAGTGGGGAAGATTTGTGTGCCAGCCTGGACTGACAGGCAGGCTTCCATGATGGAGGTGGAAGACGTTGGACAGGGGTGGGGGAGCGTGGCTGGCATCCAGCAGGGCATGCTGGATCAGTCAGTGCTGCTGAGGCCTGCTCAGGACAGGTGGGCCAGGGACTGGTGGACACCTGCTTTCCCTGAATGTCCTCTGTGCCATGGCTTCGTCTTTTGTCCCATTTTGGTGACCTCCTTGGTCCCCGTGTCCCCCTAGCCTCGAGTGAGAAGCCATGTCATCTGCTGCAGGTGCTGGTCAGTGCTGAACTTGAACTGACCCTGCTGACCCCCCAGGTTCTGGGAAGGACCCCAAAGGGTTCCTGAAGCCCCATGTCACGTGGTTTTGTCACACACTTTATGTGCACGCTGTCATCAGCCTTTCTGGGCACCCAGCAGCTGGGCAGGGTGCGGTCATTCACCCTAATTTAGGAGTGAGTAACCACGGCCTGGAGTTGGGGAGTGGCTGGCCAAGGTCACAGAGGTCGAACCTGGAGCATGACCTCATCTTGACCCCCTGACCCTTGCTTGTCCTTTCCTAGAAGTCACTGTACCAGTGTGGACGACATCAGGGTGGAAGGGACCAAGGCAGTGGGCAATGCAGGGGCTCCATGGGCTGGCTGGCACCCCTCTCTGTCAGCTGGGTCCACCCAGATGCTGCCCTGGGCAGCTTTGTGGGGCTTTTCCCATGGTGTCTTATGCCAGGCAGGAAGCAGACCTCTTCATTTTAACAATCTGTTTATTTATTTGAAAGAATGATAGACAAAGAGTCATCTTCCAGATGCCGATTCACTGCCCAAATGGTTGCAACAGCCAGAGCTGAGTTGATGCAAAGCCAGGAATCAGGGGCTCCATCCAGGTCTCCCATGTGGGTGCACGGGGCAGTCCTCTGCTGCTTTCCCAGGCTTATCATCAGGAGCTAGATGGGAAGTGGAGCAGCCAGGACTCGAACCTGTACCCGTACAGTATGCTTGGCCCCTCTGCATGTGCTGCCCCCATGCCCTGACCACTCTGGGTGCTGAATCTTCTGCCCACATTGACCTCAGCACTAAGTCCCTGCTCTCTAAGGAGGCTGTGTCCCTCTGCCCCCTTCCCTGGTTTCAGTGAGGTGAGGCTCCTGAGCTGTTTGCAGTTTTTTTTTTTTTTTTTTTTTTTTTTAAGATTTATTTTATTATTTTTTTATTGGGAAGGCGGATATACAGAGAGGAGAGACAGAGAGGAAGATCTTCCGTCCAATGATTCACTCCCCAAGTGAGCGCAACAGCTGATGCTATGCCGATCCGAAGCCAGGAGCCTCTTCCAGGTCTCCCACACGAATGCAGGGTCCCAAAGCTTTGGGCCGCCCTCGACTGCTTTCCCAGGCCACAGGCAGGGAGCTGGAACCCGGCGCCCATATGGGATCCCGGGCGTGCAAGGTGAGGATCTTAACCACTGCGCCATCGTGCCGGGCCCTTTCTCCTTTCTTTTTAAAAAGGATTCATTTCTTTGAAAGGCAGAGTTTAAAAGTGAGCAAGCGAGTGAGTGAGAGAGATCTTCCATCTGCTGCTTCATTCCCAAAATGGCCACAGTGGCCAGGCCATAGCCAGAAACTTCTCCTGGGTCTCCCACGTGGGTGTAGGGGCCTAAGGACTTGGGCCATCTTCCGCTGCCTTCCCAGGTCACTACAGGGAGCTGGATCAGAAGCAGAGCAGTCAGGATTCGAACCTGCACCCACATGGGATGCCAGTGCTGCAAGCAGAGGCTTCACCTACTATACCATGGCACCAGCTCCGGGAATGGAGTTCTTTAGGGAGAATGTACCTGTGGTGGGCAGGGCAGCCCTCTCTGCCAGGCTGGCTGTGTCTGTTGGGATGCCTTCATGCCCAGTGCCCACAGAGCCTCACCACTGTTGCTGTGTTGGTGGCATGTGTCCTGAGCTGCCTCCCCTGCAGCATCCTGACACGGTGAGATCTCTGGAACTTCCAGATGACCCGTGTACGTGGTGTTCCACACCAAGCGTGCTGCACTGGCAGCCCTGGCAGGTCAGGTCCTCCTATCCCTGCTTCACCATGGAGGCCCTGTTGCCCAGGGCTGCAAGTGGACATAGCTGTGGGTTCCTGGGGCCAAGCCCTGCCTCTCTCTCTGAGCAGACAGGTGCGTGCCAAGCAGCTCCTCTGGGAAGCTCCTGAGCTTTGCAATTGAGGAGTATTTTGACAGCGGGGGTGGGGCCACCCGGATGGGCATCTGGGCAGTGGGGGCATGGTATGTGCAAAGTCCCTGAGGTAGGAAAGCTGACGACCCATAAGGGAATTGTGTCAGAATCTGGGGTCCCTTCCTTTTCTTTCTTCTTCTTCTTTTTTTTTTTTTTTAATAAATAAAGATTTATTTTACGTATTTGAAAGGCAGAGTTACAGAGAGGGAGAAATGGAAGAAACCTTCCATCTTTTGGTTCACTCTCCAAATGGCTGCAATGGCTGCACTGGGCCAAACCAAACTTGGGAGCTGGGAGCTTCTTCCAGGTGGCCCACGTGGGTGCAGGGCCTTGCTTTACTGCTTTCCCAGGTGCATTAGCGGGGAGCTGGAGCAGAACTGGAGCAGCTGGGACTCGAACCAGCAACTCTATAGGATGCTGGTGCTGCGGGTGGAGGCTTAACTAGAGTCCTGTCTTTACCCCTGGAGTGGCCTCAGGTCGGAGGCTGAGCTAGTGTCTGCCCTGGTTTTCTCAGCCCTTATCTGACCAAGCAGGACCCAAGGACACACACACACACCTGGCACTGACTTGCCTGGCCCGGGGCCTTGCCTGGCGGGCTGGCAGCTTGTAAGGCCTTGCCTGTTTGTTGTGGTGACTGTCTCCATCACGGCCACACCTGGGCCGACAGGGACGGCGACTGGCAGCCCGTAGGCTGTTGCTGGGGCCGTCCCCATGACAGCTGGTGTGGCCGGCCCACAGGCTCAGGTCTCTCCTGACGCAAGCAATGTGCCCCGTCGGGCAGGTGGTGGGGTGACCAGGCCAGGACTTCCCCAGGCCTCAGCCATCCAGCCGAGCCACGGACAGGGACAAGCCACAGGCTGGGGGTGGCCACATCTTGTAAGTGTCGCCAGCTCTCAGGGCATATGGGATGGATGGGAGGATACAGAGGAAGGTGTACCTCCAAGCCACCTTCCCAGAGAGAGAGCATGAGCTACTCTGTCCACTGCTGGGGCTGAGCCTCAGGAACTCCACCCGGGTCTCTGATGAGGGCAGCAGGCACTCCATGTCTTGTGCCATCAGCTGCTGCTTCCCAGGGTGTGCATTGGCAGGAAGCTAGGACCGGGAGCTGACGTGGAGGGCAGACTGCCTAACCGCTGGGCTAAGCGCCCCGCCCCTGGTCTCAATTTTTAGCACAAAGCACGCCCTGTCTGTAGCCTAAGGGCTCCGTACAGGTTACTGGTGGTCCCAGGTCATAATGAAAGCTGTGTCTACTCCTCGCTGTTCAGGACGAAACTGTCCAACTCTGCCCAGGGAGATGAACCTTCGGGGTGGGCAGGGGGCAACGCCCAGCCTCACAGACAGGAGCTCACGTGGCGTTGCCTGATGCCGCAGTGGCCCCAGTCCCTGGAGCATTCCCACTGTGCTTGGCCGCACAGGCGTAGAACCTGGGGTGCCACCTGGTGTGGGGGTCTTAGGGCCCAGAACCCTTGCCTGGTTCCCTAGAGCAGCAAGGTAGAGGGGCTGATGTGGCCTCAGGATCCCACCCCATGCCTGACACACTGCGACCTTTTTTTTTTTTTTCTCATCCCAAAGGAAGTGTGGGGTCCAGGGAAGCCCAGGCAGGCCTCCAGACTCGGTCACCCACCTCAGGCCGCAGAGCTTTCCTTTACCACAAGGCAAGCTCTTAAGCTGGGGACCTGCCCTGGGGCTGGCTGAACCCCTTGACTTTCTGTGTGGCCTGGGGCTGGTGCCTTCCATCCCACCCCTCACCCCCCAGAAAGCTGGGCCAAGAGTGCTTTGTTCCCAGGGTTGTAGGGACACCTGGAATGACAGACAGTGAGGGCTCCCTGCTGGCCCCTGCTGGCCCCTGCTGGCCCCTGCTGGCCCCTGCTGACCTCTGGTGACCCCTGCTGGCCCCTGCTGACCTCTGCTGACCCCTGCTGAGCCCTACTGGCTGTATGGTGCCTCCACTCTCAGTGGTCTGCAGTACCATGACCAGTCCCTGAGTTGGGCTTAGATATGCCTGGGCATCGCTCTCTGGCCGAGCTGCTGGCCTCTGGTGTGTGGATGGAGACACCATTGACCTTGACTTCTGGGGGCCCTGGCGTGGCTTCCACGGGGTTCAGCTGCCCCTATCTGCTCACTTCGCCCACCTGCTCCAGCATGGTCACAGAGGACCCCAGCCCTCCCTGGCCAGGGTGCTAGGCTGTGAGGCTGCACTGCGCTATGGCTGAGGCCGGATCCCAGCCTGGCTCAGGGCCTGAGGTCTGCTTGGCAGGTGACAGCATGGCCTAGGGGGTTCCCAGGCCCCATGGAAGGCCAGCGGCAGGCAGAACAGGTGGCAGGGTCATGCCAGGACAGCAGGAGGGCATTGCTGAGTGGCAAGCCCTGGCTGCATCCCTGCTTGGCCAGGCACTGGGAGCTGGGTGCCCTGGGAGAGTCCCTCATCTCCTCTGCAGAATGCATGTCTGGATCCAGGGCCTGCATTTGGCCCTGCACTTGGCCCTGGAGTAGGGCAGCTGAGCTGGGCACTGGGCCTGGGTGGCAGAGCTGGTCCCCATCTCTGGAGGGCATCAGGATGGAGTCCTGGCCATGCTCCCAACTCTCAGTGTCCTTCTTGGGACCTGGGCTTCTCCCTGCTGTATGTGGGATGGGCCTGGTCTGAGCTGGGAGCCCTGGGCTGGCTCAGGCTGCAGGGCCTTGCCCCCACCTTCCCCACAGGGCTCCTTCTCAGCCCACACTCCCTGTAGGTGAGAGAGGCAGAGTGGGGGTGGCGGTTGATGTGCTTAGCAGGTGGGAAAGCCATAGCCCAGGGGCCACTGAGGTCATGCCAAGGCCCCCAGACCTAGCCCTGTCCCTTGCACTTCCCCAGCCATTCAGCAGCATCAGGCACACCATGGCTATGCAGTGTGGCGGGGGGGGGGGGGTTTGTCCAACAGCTGTACCCTGTCAGAGGCTGTGGTGAGGGTTGAGCAGGTCACCCTTGGTGCCAGGGCTGGGTGGCCTGGATAGGCTGCAAGCTTTCTTCTTTTGTGTCTGTCTGTGGCAGGTGCATCAGCCTAGTGCATAGTGGGCTATGTTGGGTTGCAACCCTGCAGGGCAGGGTGGGGGCTTCAACCCTGCATGTGAGGTGTGTCCCCAAGCCGGGCCCCAGGTGTGGCAGCTCCTGCCTCTCACTCCTTGCATGCCTTGCCAAGAGGGCAGGTGCCCATCCGTAAGCCCCTGTGTGTCTGAGAACTGGGACCCCTTGAGGGGTGAGGCTGTGGTGTCTACGTCAGCTCTGTGTCCAGCCTGGTCCTGCCTGGCAGTGCCAGGACTGCCAGGCAGGACATAGTGAGGGCCCCAGGGTTGACCAGATGTCTCCCCTTTGCCTGTTTTTTTTTTTTTTTAAGCAAAACCCAAGCGGAAGAAAGACTTACGGATCTCCTGTGTGTCCAAGCCACCTGCACCCAACCCCACGTGAGTCGGCCTCTACTTCCTCCCTAGCTCAACCTGGGCGTGCTTATGGCAGGGAATGCGGGTGAGGGTGGGCTAGGAAGACTCCCGAGTGGGTCAGGCGGAAGCGGGGATGCTGAGGGGATGGCTCACAGCATCCTGGCACCTTGGCTCTGTGCCCGCATGCTCAGCTTTTACAGTCTTGGCCCAAGGGGCGGTCAGTGGCCCCATGGGAGCCAGAGAGCTCCCCTCATTCGCATCCCAGGGAGGGGTGCAGCCCCTCCAAGGCTCAGCACCTGCTTTTCCTGCAGACCCCCTCGGAACTTGGACTCTCGGACTTTCATCACCATTGGAGATCGGGTAAGTGCTGGCGGCGGCGGGCCTGGGCAGGCCACCCGCCCCCAGTCGTTCTGACGTGCCAGGGGCCGCTGGGAAGGGTAGGAGCCGCTGACCCCACCCTTCTCTCTGACACCTGTCTGTGGGAGGAGAATGCTGTGGGCATGACCTGGGCCAGCGCTGCCTCAGCCTGTGTCATGCGCACTTGGACTCTGTAGTGCCTGACCAGGGACTGACAACACCCTCCTGCCAGGGTCTGCTTCTCTCTCCCTGGGCTCGGCGCCCTCCAATGCCTTCCTATCGCTTCTGTCCCTCCAGAACTTTGAGGTAGAGGCCGATGACCTGGTGACCATCTCGGAGCTGGGCCGCGGCGCCTATGGGGTGGTGGAGAAGGTGCGGCATGCCCAGAGTGGCACCATCATGGCTGTGAAGGTACTACAGTGGCAGCGGTGGCTGGGAGGGCTGGTGCCTCTGATGAGGAATGCCCGCTCCTGCTGGACAGCCCCTCCACTGCACCCCTTTCCCCCCTGCCCCTCCACAGCGGATCCGGGCCACTGTGAACTCCCAGGAACAGAAGCGGCTGCTCATGGACCTGGACATCAACATGCGCACTGTGGACTGTTTCTACACCGTCACGTTCTACGGGGCGCTCTTCAGAGAGGTGAGCAGCAGCCTGGCCGCCAGCCCCTCCCGGCGCCGGGGTTGGACGTGGGGGCAGGAGGGGTCAGGGAGGCAAGGAAGAGTCCTCCCTGCCCACCGGAGGCCGCACAGCCCAGCCTTCCCGCTCCCTAGCTGGCACCACCTCGCCCTTTGCCCTCTGTTTCTCCCGGAGGTTAAGCCGTGTGGCTGGCGCTGTGCCAGCAGGTGCCGGGTGGGCGGGGATGAGCCACGCAGCTTGCACGCAGGAGATTCTAGGTCTGCAGGTGTGGGTGAGGAGCTGAGGGCACAGCCCAGAGTGAAACAGGTGCAGCCAAGAAGACAAAGCTGCCTCTGCTGACGCGGGGGGGGCTGGGAGGAGCCTGCTGCTCTGAAAACCTGAGTTTGGGGTTCAAAGCCATCCCTGTCTGGGGTCTGAGCAAGGGTGTGGAGACTGGGGTTGGGGGTCAGGGGCCTTGGGTGGGCACCACAGCTGAGCCCGGAGCTGCCCCCAGGGAGATGTGTGGATCTGCATGGAGCTCATGGACACATCGCTGGACAAGTTCTACCGCAAGGTGCTGGAGAAGAACATGACGATTCCAGAAGATATCCTGGGGGAGATTGCCGTGTCTGTAAGTGGCTGTGGGACCCAGGAGCAGAGCCAGGGGCCCCAGCACTGCCCGGCAGGGCACCCAGCTCTCCCGCACTGCACCCATAGCTGGCTTGCTGGGGGAGATGCTGGTGCCAGGCTTCACACCAAAGACGCCTTAAGGTGCTTCACAGGGATACGGAGTAAGGTGGGGGAGAGGGTCAGCCCTCTAGGCGTGTGGCTCTCGAAGGTCCCAGGGGAGATGATGAACACGGGGCCTGAGCATCCCAGCAGCCAAGGAGAAAAAGGAAATGGGAGAAGTTTGTGGGAGACAGGTGGTGGTGACAGGACTGGAGGGTCCCTGGGAGTAGATACAGGGAGGTGAGAGGGGCCTGGCTGTGCCATCCTCACCCTCTGCCCCCTCCCTCTTCACTCCAGGTGGTACGGGCCCTGGAGCACCTACACAGCAAGCTATCCGTAATCCACAGAGGTTAGTGCTGGAGGAGGTGGGGCCTCAGAGGTGGGGCGGGGCCTCAGAGGTGGGGCGGGGCCTCAGGGGGTGGGGCTGAGTATGGTGTATCCGCTCTCTGCAGACGTGAAGCCATCCAACGTTCTCATCAACAAGGATGGCCACGTGAAGATGTGTGACTTCGGCATCAGCGGCTATCTGGTGGACTCGGTGGCCAAGACGATGGATGCCGGCTGCAAGCCCTACATGGCTGTGAGTGCCCTCGGGGGGCCCGGGCCCTGGGCTGAGCCACCTGCTGCCGCTCTGCCCTGCACTGGGCCATTCTTCTGTCCATCAGGTCAGAGCCTTCCCCACTGCGGGGTGGCTTGGACTTGTCTACCATGCCAAGAGCAGCCTCACCCTGCGCTGGGGGGGGGCATCACCTGGGCGCTCCTGGTCTGGGCAGATCCAGCCTCTCAGGCTCTCCCCGGGCAGGCCTGGCTGCTGTGTGTGTTGAGGGGGGGTCTCAGTTTCTTCCTCTGTGCCATGGACAAGTGGGAAGGGATGAGCAGGGGTGAGGGGACACTCAAGCCTGGCTGGTCTCTCCCACAGCCTGAGAGAATCAACCCCGAGTTGAACCAGAAGGGCTACAATGTCAAATCAGACGTCTGGAGTCTCGGCATCACCATGGTATACAGGCGAGCGTGTGTGTGTGTGTGTGTGGGTGGGGAGAGGCTCTGGGGTCCTGGGATGTCCTCCTGGGCTGAGGATGGGGGGACCATGCTGAACTTGGATGCGCCTGAGGCCCAGGTGTCGGAGTGAGCTCTGGCCCCTCACCTATCAGTGTTTGGGACAGGAAGGGCTTGTATCCCAGTTTCCATCATGGAGAGGGACTGGGCAGAGGAGGAGGGGGGTCTCAGACAGATGGTGAGAGGGAGACCCAGGGGTCCTGGGGGTGACCCCAAGGCTCCAGACTTGGTCATGTGAGGCGGCCTCCAACCATCTGCTTCCTGGGCGGCTTAGAAGCTGGGCTGCACCCAGCAGCCCCCTACATGCTGGCAGGGTGGTGGCTGGCCTGGACTGCGCTCTCTGGTATAGCACAGTTTCTCCCCAGGGACTCAGAAAAGCATACGAAATGGGGCAGCACCGAGTGGTGGGGAGGGGAAAGCTGTGGTTGTCTCCACGCAGACAGCGCCTCTTGTGCCGCAGTCTTTGTCCATCCACTGGCTCCTGGCTGCAGCAGCCAGGGCTCAGCCAGGCCAGAGCCAGGAGCCAGGAGCCAGGAGCCTCTTCCAGGTCTCCCACATGGTGCCAGGGTCCAAGGACTTGGGCCATCTTCTGCTTTGCCCAGGTGAATCAGCAGAGAGCTGGATTGGAAATGCAGCAGCAGCCAGGGTTCAGGCTGGCACCCTTATGGGTGGCCCCAACAAACAGATTTGGGGGTGCTGTGTTACTTCTGTTTCTCTGAGTGGCTATAAACCCTTCAGTCTCTTTACCAAAGGCCCCCTGCCTCCAGTGCACAGTCATCTGACCTGCCAGGGGAGCACGTGGGGGGCTTGATGGGGCAGGGTTATGGTGGGCTAGGTCTCCCAGGGCCTCGGCCTAGGCCCTCCATCCAGCTGACCGTCCCACCCCCCTGTAGGTGTCGCTGCACACCAGCCCGAGATGGGATGATTGGATCAAGCGTTTGGACCAATTTCTGACGTATTAATTATAAGTCTGGCAATTCGGGGAGAGCCAGGAAGTCTAGGAGTGCTCCTGTAGGCCACGCCCATGCCCATGCTATAGGCGAGCCTGTGTCTGGGCTCCACCCCATGGGTGTGTCCATATCAGTAGCTCCTGGTGGCCCTGCCTCCACAGGCGTGTCCACGACTGGGCCGGAGCCGCATGAACCTCGGCCTGGGTCCCTGGCTGCCCTTTTGCACCTGCTGGCTGGAGCCCCACATTCCACCCATAGAATAGGGCACCGTTCCACACAAGGGCTTGGGCTGGCCCGCCCAATCTGGTTCTCATCCCAGAGACCTAAGCTGAAATCAAGGGTTCCCTGTAAGGCAACCCAGGCATTTCCACAAAACTCCTGCCAACTGGGGCTGGCACCCAAGGACCGGATCAGCTAAATAGTGGCCTGCAGGTCCAGGAGGAGGAGGAGCCAAGGAGGGAGGACTCCCTGTCCCGTGGGGAAGAGACTTGCCTCCTCTCCTGGAGCTTGTGCCCCTACGGAAGGCGGCCAGGGACCTGCCAGCCATCGCCTTACATGCACCTGACCCAAAGCTGTGGCTCCTCCAGTACTCTGGCACGGGTGCCCTGACTCACGGTGTCAGGGCTGCCCTTCAGCCTGGCTCCCGGGGCTGCGCCAGAATGGGCAGGGTCCATGGCTTCCGGTGTGGAGTGTGGGTACACATTGCTGACCCTGCCGTCCCCTGCCTGCAGATCGAGATGGCCATTCTACGCTTCCCTTATGAGTCCTGGGGGACCCCGTTCCAGCAGCTGAAGCAAGTGGTGGAGGAGCCTTCTCCCCAGCTCCCGGCTGACCGCTTCTCCCCCGAGTTTGTGGACTTCACGGCACAGTGGTGAGTCTGGGGGAACTCCTCAGCACCCCTTTTCTCTGGCACCCCCTCAGCACACAACCACCCACACTGCATGGCATCATAGCACATGAGGTGGAAGCAGTGTGAAGGAAGTCTGAGGGTCCCAAAGAGGGGGTGTGTGAATGGAGGGGGGATGGATCTGATCAGAGACCTTCCATAAACAGATTGAGAGGAAGGCAAGAAAAGGCAGAGGAACAAACAAAACGCTCCAGACCCACTCAGAGCATCCGAACACACAAGTCTGCTCAAGCTGTTTAGATATATATATATGGGAGTGGATGGTGCCTGGGTCTGTGTGATGCAGGCAAAGCCACACTCAGAGGGCCATGCATAGTCCATTTCCCTTGTTAGAAAGGACGGACCATGGACAATCCATAGGCCAGGCTCTATAGCCAGTGGCCGGCCTCAACCCTCTGGGGTCCCTTCCTGGGCAGGACACTCGGCACCTGACCAACTTGCCCAGACCCTACACAGGGCCGGTCCCTCATCTGCTGCCCAGGGATTGCAGCCTACCCAGGAAACTTCCCTTCGCCCCCTTGCCCCCTGCTGCCTGGCCAGACGCAGGCCTAGCCCAGTTTGGCTGGCCTGTAAGGCCCAACCCGACCCAGCTTAGCCGGCCTGAAGGCCCTGGCCTTGTCCCAGCTGCTCTTTTCTCCCCTAGCCTGAGGAAGAACCCTGCAGAGCGCATGAGCTACCTGGAGCTGATGGTGAGTGCATGAGGACGGGGCCTGCCCTGGGGAGGTGGGCAGCAGTGCCTGTCTGGGGATTGCACCCCCATGTACAGATGGGCAGCTCTGCCGGCTGGTCCTGGTGGTCCCAGGTTCCCGTCCAGCACGCCAGGGCTTGTGGAAGGGTACTGAGGGGTCAGTGGTTGGCCGGTAGCCCGGGAGGACATGACTGCGGAGGAGCAGTCAGGGAGGGCTTCCTGGGGGTGGCTGTCCTTGAAGAGCAGGAACCCAGGCAGTGACTGTGCCCCCTGTCACCCCTCCAGGAGCACCCCTTCTTCACCTTGCACAAAACTAAGAAGACGGAAATCGCTGCCTTTGTGAAGGAGATCTTGGGAGAGGACTCGTAGGGGCTGGGCCGGGATCCTGCTGGGATGCTGGGTGCCCGCAGCCCCCTGTGCCGGGGCAGTGCCCGCCCACAGCTGGAAACTGCTGCCATCCAGCCCTTGGGAGGAATCCGGGGGCTTCTCCTACCTGGCTGTGCAAGGCCAACCGTTGGGCACTCACGCCAAAGAACCAAGACCTCTGGCCGCTGCCACCGAGCCCGCCTGGGCCCCATCAGCGCCTCCAGCCCCGGACCCTGGACGCGGAGGTGTCAGAGAGCCAGTGCTGTGTGGGCCCCTGCTCTGGACGCTGCCCAAGCTGTATATATTTTTTAAATCTCAACTGAATGGACCTGGCACACTTTAGGTCTGGGGTGACTGTGCCTTGGGCCTGGCCTGGATGTGAAACACACACAGGGACAAGGGGGTGAGCCCTGAATAAGCCTGCACCCCAACTCCTCAAGGCCTTGCTGTCACAACCCTGGTGTCCATTACTTCTGTCTGTTGGCGTCTAGGGCTGTCGCTTCACTTTTTTTGGGAGTTTGTTTTTTTTTAATTTATCCTCTGTTGATTTTTTTTTTCTTTTTGCTTACTGGATTTGGCTGGTTTTCCTTGCATGGATTGGAACTGATCGCTTCTCTTCCCTCCCCTGGGGTGGCAACAGGTGCATTCCTGCCCACCCCACCACCCCCTGACGTGGGCTCAGGCTGTGAGTGTGTGTGTGTGTGTGTGTGTGTGTGGCTAGGAGGTGGAGCCCTGGTCAGTCTCTTCTCAGAGAAGTACCTGGGGAGATGTACTGGGATAGGAGCTGACGGGGAGGCCTGCTTGATCAAGGGCTATGAATTTGCTTTGGTGGTGTTTGAGGGAAAAAAAAAAAAAGGAAAATATATTTTTATGAAGAAAGGATTGTACTTCTGAGTCGTTTTCCTGGAGGGTAGGGGGGGTAACGGGTTGTGCGAGGTCGCGTGACAGGGGTGAGGTCCCCTGGGGTCTCCTGGTTCCCAGAACAAAGGGAACAGGGGGCTACTGGGCCACCAAGGTCCTGGCCTGGACTACCTCTGGCATCGTGCCTCCTGGAGGGCTCGGGCCAGGCAGGTGTCTCCAGCCTGACCCCATGCTGGACTCGGGATGCTGGGCACAGTAACGGGGACTGGGGCTGGGTCCCTGCTGGGCGTGTGACAGGAGAGGGTGGGACAGCCAGTGTGGCCGGCCCCAACACATCATGGAGGAAGCAGGGAAGCTGTGTCCTGGGGACCCGGGGCCTCCCCTCAGAGGGAAGGGAGCTGGAGGGGGGTCCCCTTGCCCAGCCCCACCAAGGGCTGGCTGGTGGCTCTCTGCTGACCACCAAGGGCCAGCCTCGTCCCGAAGGGCTTGGGGACCAGAAGTCAGGGCCCACCAGCCCCGGGAGCCACGTGAAGAACACCGGCGACCACCCCGCGTCCGCCTTTTCCGGTCTGCCACCTCCAGTCCTCCCCTGCCGCTCCGACGTCCAGGAACTCGTCCCCGCCCCTTCCCCACGGAGGACAGCCCTCCACTCTGGCTCCGCCCGTCACCTCAGCAGCGCCAATGAGCGCGGCGAGTGCGGAAGAGTGACAGCGGCGGGGGCGGGCTCACGGCGCTCCCGGCCCCGCCCCGTGCGCGTGCGCCTGCCGGTTCCGCGCGGCCCCGCTGGGCTCCTCCCGCGGCCGCCAGGGGGCGACAGAGCCCGGGGCCAGCCCCGCCGCCGCCCCCTCCCCGGAGCCGCGCCCTGGGTCGAGGCCGCGAGGCCGGAGACCCCTCTGCCGCTGCCCACCCACTGCCCGCCCTGCTGGCGCGGCCCGGCAGGTGCCCCCGACTCCAGGGTCTGCAGCAAGTCGCCTCCCGGCCAGTCCAGGCCTGGGTGTGGCTGCAGACACGGGGCAGAGGCTGCAGGCCTGAGCGATGCCAGCTTGCCCTCTCTTCTACTCAGAGACCTTGCAGCTGCCTCCCTCTGCTTGCATACCTGCCCACACAGGGAGCTCACTGCCACATACACAGAGGAACTTCCCTGTTTGAATTCCCGAGGCGTGCAAAGCAAGGGCCTCCCCTCGACCGTGTGTGAACCCTGGCCCCCTCAGCTCGCTGGCAGGTTGCTGTGGGTCCCCTGGGAGGCCAGGTGCAGGGGGCTGTAGAGAAGCCAGTGCCCTGACCATCATGCCAGCTCCCTGGGAGGACAGAGTGGCTCTGCCTGGCCCCTATCCCCAAGGCCTGGGGTTTTCAGACATTCTGCACACCCACCCTGCACCTGGCCAGCCTGGCTTGGCCAAAACCTCACAGAAGCCCCGGCGGCTGCTTTGTTTGTGTTGTGGGTCCTACTCAGGGGGGCTTGGGCTGGCAGGAGGCCTGTGGCCATTCCTGGCAAGCTGGGAAAGTTTCTCCCTTCGCCGGCTCCCAAGCCCTCCGCTGCTCCCTATTGCCCCTTATATCCAGAGCAAAGGAAGCCCAGCATGTGCTTTGAGCAGCCCTACTGTGTGCCAGGTGGCCCTGGGGGAATCAGGACTGAGGATGGAGCAGGGCCGAGCTAGATCCAGGTCCTGGCCGGTCCTTTTTGGGCCGACGAGCTGAGTGGGCGAGGGGTGGGGGTGGTGTTGCTCAGGCCAGGAGGAGATAGGCAGAGCTTATCACCTGTCCCTGTTCCCCAAATTAAACGAACAGTAATTAAGTGGACCATTTAAAATAATGAAACTTCATTACCAAGAAGTGGTTCGGTCTGATTGGTTCTTTCAATTATTCACATTGGGATTTCAAAGCCCCCAGGCGGGAGGGGCCTTGGTGGGTGCGGGGGGTAGAGAAGGGACCAGGAGGGCAGCTGGCAGAGCAGCTGGACGCCTTGGGGTGGACAGCAGTCGCAGGGGGCTTGAGCTGGTGGATCGGGAGCACAGGGGTCACCTCTCAGCCTCAGAGCCTCTCCAGGGTCCCCGGCTCCAGGGGTCACACAGCTCTGAACTTTGATGGGACCATGGTGCTCTGTGACTCAGTTTCCCTGGCTGCACCCTAGAGTCTCCGCTGCTGGACAAGGGTTCTGGCATACAGCCTGAGCTGTATGCCCTCCGGGCTTGTGCCCAGCACCCGGCTCTCCCCCAGGAGTCCTCCGGCCTTCCTACAGGAGTTCCCATCAGACACGGAGTGGTGAGTGGCAGACACTCGGCGTGTGCTGTGTCTGACTGTGACAGTGGGACAGGGTGCGGGAAGGACCATGGGGGTGGGGCGGGGGTGGGGGGAGGGCGCTATGGCGTCACAGTGTCTGCAGCCTCTGTCGCCGAGCATCTGGCTTTGGGGGTCTCATCATTGAGGTGGCAGTGCAGCAGCCGAGTTGAAAACTGGTGCCCGGTTTTGGGGAGCGGGCGTGTGAACCTACACAGCTCACCCAGGTGCATCAGGATGCTTGCCCCAAAACACATTCCAGGAGGGGAAATCGCGTGAGCTGAGCCGAAGCCTGGAGCCTCTTCCGGGGTTTCTCAAGTGGGTACAGAGGCCCAAAACACTCGGGCCACCCTCCACTGCTTTCCCAGGGCGCAGGCAAGGCACTGGATGGGAAGTGGAGCATCCAGGACACGAACCGGTGCCCATAGGGGATGCTGGCACCACAGGGTGGAGGATTAGGCAGCTATGGGCCCCCGTAAAACAAATCTTTAAAAAGAGAGAGACTGTTCCTTTCATCTCTCACCTTTAAAAAATTCCCATCTGGGTCCGGCGCGATGGCGCAGTGGTTAAAGTCCTTGCCTTCCATGTGCCAGGATCCCATATGGGCGCCGGTTCTAATCCTGGCAGCCCTGCTTCCCTTCCAGCTCCCTGCCTGTGGCCCTGGAAAGCAGTCGAGGACGGCCCAAAGCTTTGGGACCCTGCACCCCTGTGGGAGACCCGGAAGAGGCTCCTGGCTTCGGATTGGCTCAGCTCCAGCCGTCCGGGCTGCCCGGGGAATGAATCATTGGACGGAAGATCTTCCTCTCTGTCTCTTCTCTCTGTATATCTGCCTTTCCAATAAAAATAAAATAAATCTTCAAAAAAAATTCCCATCTGAAAGGTGCGTACGTGCACACGCGGAGGGACACTCCACCTGCTGCTTTACTTCCCAAAGACCCACAGTAGCTGGGTCTGGGCCACGTGGAAGCCAGGAGCCCAGACCTCCATCTGGGTGTCCCACATGGATGGAAGCCTCAACCGCTGGAGCCGTCGCTGCTGTACCCCAGGGGTGCACTGTAGCAGGGTGCTGGATCACAGGCAGGATGGAGTTCAAGGCCAGGAACTGCCATGTGGGGGTGTCAGATGACCCTGGTGGTGTCTTGGCCTCTGTGCCCAGCACCAGCCTCTCTGCTCTGTCCTTCGGAAGTGCGCCCTGAGGCCAGCCTCCCTGATTGGTTTGAGCAGTGTGCACTCATTGTGGACAGCTGAGCTTCCTTCTGTCTCCCCCCACCCCCACGCAGTCCCCTGGGAATTCTGTAATTGTAGAAGTTTCTAGACCTGTATCGTCTAACACAGTAGCTGCTTGAAATGCGGCTCAGGAACTGAGTTTTTTTTTTTTTTTTTAAGATTTATTTATTGGAAAGTCAGATATACAGAGAGGAGGAGAGACAGAGAGGAAGATCTTCTGTCCGATGATTCACTCCCCAAGTGAGCGCAACGGCCGATGCTATGCCGATCCGAAGCCAAGAGCCAGGAACCTCTTCCGGGTCTCCCACACGGGTGCAGGATCCCAAAGCTTTGGGCCGTCCTCGACTGCTTTCCCAGGCCACAAGCAGGGAGCTGGATGGGAAGTGGAGCTGCTGGGATTAGAACTGGCATCCATATGGGATCCCGGGGCATTCAAGGCAAGGACTTTAGCCGCTAGGCCACGCCGCCGGCCCGGACTGAGTTTTTATTAAAGGCCATTTTCATTCATGTGAGAGCAAACAGCTCCACGTGTGGCTCGGGCTGACCATGACAGCCAGCACGGCTCCCCACGCGGGGGGGCACATGGCTCCAGCTGAGTGGGGTCTGTGGTTGGTGAGTCCCTTTGGCTCTGGTTTCTGCTTCTCACCCCCACCCCACTGATGGCAACCTGAGCCCACCCTCAGGCCTCCGCCCCTCCCCTGGTCCCACCCTCAGCCTGCTTGGGCCCCTATGCACACATCACTCATCGGTGGTGATGCTCGTGGGCACCTTCGCTGGGTGTGACAGACGTGAGCCCATTTCCCAGGTGAGAAGGGTGAGGCCGTGTCTCTGGCTGGAGGGCCTGGGCGTAGCAATGGGAGGCGGGCTACAGGCCATCTGGGTGACTCAGGCCAGGTCAATGGAAACCTTGTTTGCGTGTATTTTTAACCTGGCTGGCTGAGGGGGCTGTGCTGGTGTCTGCGTGGCCTTGGGGGCTGAGCTCTGGGCACTGTCTCCGATCGAGGTTCTGAGGGAGCTGCAGGGAGATTGAGGAAGGAATGCAATTTGCACTGGAGGCTGGGGTACCCCTCCTGCCTTGTGGGTGTGTAGCCGTGCCCTGCCACTCCCCAGCTGCCCACTTCACTACCCTGAGCCGTGGTTTGTGGATGCAGCTTCTGCCCTGGGCAAACTCTTGTTGTCAAGGGGCTGCCCCCAGTTCTTGTCCCAGGATGAGAGGTGTCAGCAAGGAGTAGGCTTTCTCTGCGCCAAGTGGAGGGATGCACTGGAGAGGGAGTTGGCGCGTGGCACTTAGGTCAAGCTGCCGCTTGGTGTGCCTGCATCCTATACTGGAGAACCAGTTCAAGTCCTGGTTGCTGTGCTTCTAATCCAGCTCCATGCTGCTACACCTGGGAGGCAACAGGTGGTGGCCCAAGCACTCAGATCCCCGAACCCATGTGGGAGAAGCAGATGGAGTTCCTGACTTAAGTCTGTACCGGA